GACAAAGAACATAATTTTATAAAGTGTGATGTGACAATACACTCTCATTACTTGCAGAGATTTAGGAGAGACTTTGATTGACACAAACTGAGTTGAAAAGTCTGCAAGTCTGTTAATTATTACATGGCCCTGAAAAGTGTAAACAAATAACTTTGTTTCCCCCCTTCATTTAATTGTTTCAACAATGATCAACTCAGGGTCCATATAAAAATATAAACCATAAATGAACATTTGCAATGTTAATTTAAACCAGCAAATAATGCTATGTCCCATACCAAAACAGCATTGGTCTGCCAGAGAGATGTTGTCAAAATTAGGAAATACTAGGTTCTGACAATAATTCAACTTATTAGTAAATCATCAAAGTAGTTAACCATCAGGATTTCCATTCTTTTAAAAGCTGTATTATTTCAAGTGAAATAATTAAAAATAAAATATAGCTAGTGAAATAATTAAAAATAAAGCAACAATGCCCATAAGATAGCAGCAAGTTCTGGGCTGCTATGGAGCACTAACATTTCAAATCACATTGAGTGACTCTTTTCATTATGTTCTTATCATAAATTCAGGAGTCCTGTCTAAATAATACAATTTAACTATAGTTAAATTGAAACCCTTGAGACATGCTGAGATTTTGGAATGTAAGGTGGACAGAAAAAAAATCTTCAGTATAGAGAACGGAACAAAAGGCATTTCTTGATAATAAAAAGTTCAAGAATTTGGCCCTCTTTTTTTAACTTAAAAACTGAAGACATATGGAGAAAAAGCTTAATATTTTTGAATGTGGATAGTGACAATATAAGTGCTTAAAGGATATTTTATTTCTGATTTTTTCCCTTCTGTTTTAAAATATTGCCAGTTAAGTTGCAATTCTAAAAAAACAAAAGGCCACATTTCTGTTTAGAACTGAGTTGATGTAATCCAGTTTCGTGCCCATAGTCCAACTGAACTGAACTGGCACCTGTACATATATAAATGTAGTCCTTGACTTACAACAGTTCATTTAGTGACCATTCAAAGTTACAAGGGCACTGAAAAATGTGACTTATGACCATTTTTCATACTTACGACCTTTGCAGCATCCCCATGATCATGTGATGCTTGGCAACTGGTTCATATTTATGACAGTTGCTGTGTCCCAAGGTCATCTGATCACCTTTTGCAACCTTCTGACAAGCAAAATCAATAGGCAGATTCACTTAACAACCGTGTGACTAATTTATCAATTGTGATGATTCACTTAATAACTGTGGCCAGAGAGGTCATAAAATGGAGCAAAACCATTTAACAAATGTCTCATTTAACAACAGAAATTTTGGGTTGAATTGTGATTGTATACTGCCTGTATATATTTATGAGAAACTTTCAACCTTACATTAAATTCTATTTAAAAAAAGGAATCAGTGGAAGTTAAATTCTTCACTAACTCTTCAGGTCCCAAGGTTTTTAGTACAATCATCACTAAGACATACATTCTTTTTCCCCCCCAAAAAGCCTGGAATGTGATTTTTGTTAGGGCTCTGGATGGAAAGATTGATTTGTCTCCAGACTTTCCTTCCTGCTTTGTCTGAATAAGCAGAAAAAATGTGAAATTTGGCTTAGTTGTAGTATGTGCAACCATTTAACGACTAGTTTTCCTGAATAGGACCACACCAGTTGGATAACACTCTTGGTCTGCCACATCAGCCTCTTTTACAAAGTAGGATTTCACTGCAAGTATATTGTACAAGTATATTCCTTCTTACAGACTGCAGAGAATTATTGCGCATCATATATTTTTATAAGACAAGACAAGAATCATATTGTAGTCCATAACCAGTCCATACATTTTATAGGCTTTGATGGAAATGTATGTATCTTCATAACTTCTAAACTTCATCAGAATTGTACAAATCTGTCACTTATTTAGTATCGCACGCAAGTCATAAGATTATGCGTAAGAGTAGAGATGTAATAATAGTGCATCAATCTTCCATAAAATTTAAAGTCTAATTACTCCGAAGAGCTTTATGAATATAGTTAGATGATCTCATTAATTCAACTAGTTCAAGCATTTGTTAGCTTTTGCTTATATTAATGAAAGGCCCATATGAGAACAGATAAGTTACAAATCTGAATCCACAAAGCTATACACAGTCTCTTTTTAATACTTCTGTGCTGAAAGAAGACACTCTTTGACAAGCCACTCTAAAGACTAAATTTATTTCAGGGTTTTTTTTTTATTCCAATACTGTCATCCAGTACTGCTGTTATAAACCACAGATATACTTTGCCTAATCCAACTAGAGATCAGTACCAAGGAAGCAAATAGACATAAGCTATTGAGGTGTAGCTCAAGACCACATTTCTTCTGATTTAAACTTTGGAGTTCTAAAAATATTTTTTATAATTTTCCCACATTTTTTTCCTCCATTAAAGAATTGGAAATCGTATTCAGTTTCTCATTTTTCCAGCTTTTTAAAAGTTTTGCTTATTTAAAAGATTATTATGAAAATATGTACATTTCCATGCACATACCTCCCAAAATAATTTTGTATCTCTATTTCTGTAATATTTATATGAGCTGCTTCTAATAAGAGTGGATTGACTATATGTATGTACAATATATGTATATATAGATGATGTATATAAAATGCTATGGGCTGCATTACAAAATTTAGTAAACTGTATGTATTAGCATACTACTGTGCTCCAGTTTGTATATGGGTTTACAGAGTGTGAATCAAATAAGTTTGCATCAGAATGTGAATGGAATAAATTCTGCCCCTGTGCCATTAATTAAATATGATCTAACTTTTCTTCTAGCTGCTTTAATCTTGCTTTGTTCCATCCAGCTTTAGAAGAGCAAAGAGACATGCCATATCTTTCCTTTCCAATAGGAAACAGAGAGAGCAAGCATTCTCAATCATTATTGAAAAGTTGGGTTTTGAACTAGATTCAACAGCTTGCTTGGGATATTGAAAATCCCCAGCAGCTCTTACTTTACTCATGGGATTAGGCAAGGCAGTGGCCTTCTGTGGAGTTAAATATGGCATTCTTGTATCCTTTTAAGGCAATGTTGCATTTTAAGTCAGTCCCAATTCTGCAGAGCAAATAACTTTCAAATTCTTGGCCAGATCAGGTACCAGTACTCAAGGGATGCCTATGATGATGGATTTTCATTTTAATTTTTCATTCTAGTGGTCCAAGTCCATATATTCTTTAAAATATTTGCAATCAAATGTTGTGCTTTTAAGCATGTTCATTATAATCTAGATATCAGGAGACCTTTGGAAAAGAAAAAAAATCATAAACCATTACTAAATACCAGCTTTTTAAGACAAGGGATGCTATCATGTACTGGTGTATTGTTAGCTGCATTTAATAACGGGAGCTAAGGTAGATCCCTAGCTAGATACACTCTATGTAGGGAGTTTCTCTGTTAACAGCTTAATCCAGAATCTCTGTGGGCTAAGCCCTCTGAAAACATTTTGGCAAAGTGCTTTGAAGCAGGTGTCTCCATTGGTTTTTTTTTTCTGTGTGCAGAACTTGTTAGAACTTTTTGAAGTCAATTCCAAGAAAAAAAACACATATGGAACATGCACACACACCTTTCCACATAATACAGAAAAAGAAATCAACACAGAAAATCTAACAACTTCCTCAGCTTCTCCCAGTTGTGCTCTGAATTGGGTAAGATTAGGTATACTGTATACTGGTATAAAAATAAATTGAAAATTAAGGCTCAGAACTTTGAAACTAGTAGGTGATATCAGAGCTTGCTAATTGTTATGTATTACTTATTTTACTTTCTTGGAACACTAGACCCTTAGCATCAAGTTTGCACTAAAGAAGTAGTTGTTCTTTCTGTTTTCAAATAAACATCTCATGACTTTTCCTAAGTCTGGACATTAACTATTTGATAGACTGAAGAAATAGAAACTAAGCTCATCAGGTGCTGGAAAAAAGCCTCTAACATTAAGTAATATTTTGCTGTGAAACACGCACTCTGATCCTCAGTAAGCACTCCAAGTGGGGACTGAGAAACAGTGTATTGTTCCATCTGTAACACAACATAAACCCCATATACAGTGGTGGGATTCAGATATGTGAACAACCAGTTCTCTGTGTGGATGCCGCTTCCGAAAGTCCATTCTGGACTTGGGCAACAAAAAATTAGCTACCGGTTCTGCCAAAGTGGTGCAAACTGGCTGAATCCCACCACTGCCCATATAATGACTTATGTACAGTGTGATTGTTTGAGATCTGGAAAAAATAAGATCATTTTGAATTGCGTGAAGCTGTTTCCACCACAAAGCCTATTTTGGGAGTTGATTTATGTGGTTCCTTTTATATGTTCTCTATATTTTCGAGAAAAGCATAGGGGAGAAAGAGATCTTTCACTTCAGAATCAAACTATTTTCAGGTGGACAAGACACCCCACCATTGATTCAATGATACTGAATTTCGGATACTACTGGAATAAATTGAAGTGATTATTCTCAGCAGAGTTTTGCACACCAGTGGAGTAATAGATAGTCATTCGTCATTGCAATGATGCATTGTGCATTGTGACATCACAAAATGAGCTCTACCTTTTCATATTTTTCATATTCATAACTGTGCACACAAATGCATTTATGGCAGATATTGGATTTTTGTCTCAATGATGGATGTTTTTCTGGTCCTCCAAGAATTTGCAAACCCTTTTCACTAGAACCACTCAGGGATAAAGGACATTAGAGTGTTTCCATTAGACAACTATGCTCCTGCATTAGAAATATCTATTTAATAAACTTGACTTACTTATGTTAATGATGATGTTTTACTTACAAAGACTGTAGACATTTGTTTGAATTCTCTATTTACCTGGATTCTGATATCTTCTCCTTTCCAAGAATTTAACTGTGCAGAATACAGGAAATTTATTGTTATAACATAGAGAATGAAAAATTAATCTCAATAGGATTCTGCAGAAAACAGTTAGCAATTTAATAAAACCATTTTTTTTTCTCCAACAGTTCAGAACATTCCTGACAAGTTACATTCAACTGATTCTCCAAGAGCCACAGCTTACATACCAGAATCATCTCACCAATGAAATGCAGCCATTCCTGGGATGCTGAGTGGAGTCCAGATGTTGGGCAACAAACTGCACCAGAAAGCAGGCGAAAGTTTGAACAGGAATGTAAAGGAATCACCCTCCCCAACATTATGCAAAACCTTTTGTGTGTATTTGTCTTAATGTGCATGCAGCAAAATCAGAATAATAGTTTGTTGTATTTGTGTCTTAAATCATCCAATGGGCATTCTTCATACTTTTATCTATATATTTTTAAACATCCAGAAGCTAGATAGATTTAATAAATCTTCAATTATCTCTGGCATGTGTGCAGAATTGCCTTCCTCCCCCATCTCCAAAAAGACCATTCTTCATGGGTGTCAGCATATATACATAGGGAAACAATTTAGGACAATTTTTTTTTACAGGAAACATTTGTGGAAGACTGATTCATCTCCAAAATTCTATCATATTTTCCCACACTAGACATGAACTTAACTGAATTACCATCCTAAGAAATTATTCGTACAGTTGAACCAACATAACAAAATCTGCCATGGCAAAGATTTATAGTTCCTAATAGATCTCTACTCACACAGGTGCAAATGCCTATCTTTTCATACATCATAATATTTAATATTTCTTTTTAAATCGTATTGCTTTTACAATCTTCAGAAAAGCCAAACTTAAGGAACTGTTCTTCTGTGACAAATTTAATCGCAAATCTTCAACTTTATTTCCAAAGAAATATGTCAGGATCTTAAGTAATTAAACTGAAGTTTTGTGAATTCCCTTGGAAACTTCAGGCATTTATGCAGGTGCTCACATATGTGCATACTATATTTTATAAGTGGGGGGGACAGTGTGACTGAAAAAAAAATTAATGGGAGAGTGGGGGAAAGAAGAATATATTGGTAAAGATTAAGTTCTTGCTAAATCTTTTTGAGGTAACAAATACAATTTAAGATCATTACTGTAAAATATTGAAGCTATGGTACTGTATACACATAACTGGAAATAATTCCAGTTTAACTCAATAATATAATTACAGGTTATCCTCGACTTATGACCACAATTGAGCCCAAAATTTCTTTTGCTTAAGTGAGACATCTGTTAATTGAGTTTTGCTCCATTTTATGACTTTTGCCAGGCATCTGAATTCATGTCACCATGGGAATTCTGCAATGGTTGTAAACATGAAAAATAGTCCTGTCACTTCGGTCATTAAACAAATGGTTGTAAATGGAGGATTCTCTGTAGCTCCATAAATTCTCAGAAGGACCAATATCATAGTAATATCATTATCACTTTTATATAAAATATTTATATTGATTGTACACAAACCCTGAAACCATCATCAATATGAGTCAGTTGCCAAGCATCTGAATTTTGATCACGTGACCATAGGGATGATGCAGTAGCAATAGCAATAGCACTTAGACTTATATACCGCTTCTCAGTGCTTTACAGCCCTCTGTAAGCAGTTTACAGAGTCAGTCTATTGCCCCCTAACAATCTGGGTCCTCATTTTACCAACCTTGAAAGGTTGGTAAAATGCCAAACTGCCAAACTGCTGGTACTGGCAGTCAGCAGAAATAGCCTGCAGTACTGCATTCTAACCACTATGCCACCAGGGCTCTTGGTTATAGTACGAATGGTTGTAAGTGTGAAACATTTTCATAATGTTCACTTTTTTCAGTGTCACCATAACTTCGAACTGTCACTAAACAAACTCTTGTAAGTCAAGGTTTCCTGTATTTGGAATTAAGACACAGAGCTGAAAATCAATCTTTGGGGCTTATCTAATGGACGTTTGCCACCCTTATTATGATGCTTTGTGCTGGACTTCTAATAGTAATGATGCACAAAGTTATATATCATAGGCACTGATTCCGGAACAGAGAGACAATTCATAAACAGACACGTAGCAACATATTGAGCATCACCGTTAGAATGCACAGAATTATAGCAGCTTCCACTAGGGACAGAAATGAACTGCTTATGGCAAGAGAGTCTAAGAATCACAATGGGAGCTGTTAGAACCAAATAAAAGACAACAACAACCAATTCGTATCTAGAGTGCTAATAACCATTTTGAAACTATGTTGGAAAAATACACTATTTGGATTAAGTCCATCATTTTTTTACCCCTTTTTTCTGTTTATCATTCATAAGGTTTTTTTTTAAACTTGTTCAAAATCACTGTAAAATTCACATTGGGGCTTTTGAAATTCATATTTAGAACAATATCCTTTAAACATCCGGGGCCAGGGTTTTTTCTCAGTTCCCTCCTCCCTTTCCATGTTATTTCACAGAACTGTGTTCATAATCTCAAAATTCCTGTACTAAATGGAATATCATCTGGCACAGATTTAAGAAACCTCGCTTCGCTGGCCAATCATAAAAAATGCAATGGGATTAGAGAACAATGAGACAATTTCTATAGTCAATTTTCATTTTTGACTAAGTATCTCACAAAAGAAGAACATGCAGTCAAGGTCAGAGGATTGTTCCAGAGAAAAATAAGAGCATAGATAGCTTTTAGAAAGATAATCCATAGATTTCAACCCTGAAATCTAGTATCTTCTCAAATAATATCTGCTTACTAATAGTTATTCAGGTATTGCATTAATATCCATTACTGCCTTGCTAAGGCACTTAACTTTCCTTAATACATTACCCATTATACTATTCCATGTTTAGGTGGCTCCATAATTAAACGATAGGTTGTAGAGTTGTAGATTAAGCCTTTGTATACTGTGACCTAGGAAGCCTTAGGATGAATGTTGCCCGGTCATGTGCTTTACCACTAAGCACTTTGTGTGGCAACTGATCCTAAGATCTCATGCCCCTAAAGTAAAATTAATTGGGTGAAGGCAGGAATTAAAAGAAAATAAATAATAAAAAGTAACTTTGCTGCTTGCACAATGGTAGATATGGTAGACATACTTTTAGCCTTGTTTTGTAGGGTTACAGCTGTTCTTTTTCAAGCTACCATTGATCTAAAAATGACTATACAGTAATCTCACAGAGTGGCTGGCTTATAATATGTCTCCCATGGGTTGCTTACTTGAATATAAAAGTATACAGGGAGAAAACAAGCACAATATTAGTTTGAGGAGCTTAGATAGGCTTAAAATCACAAATAAAGGCAGGGAGAAAGACAACACAATAACATGTAGCATGAAATGTCAAAACCAATAAGGATTCAACCCAATTTTAGCCAGAGGTCAGAAGTAGCATTGTTCAAAGTGATACAGATATACTCTAAAATCCTTGCCACCAATGTTCCACTGACAGTAATCAGCTAGTGGAGTATATAGGGAATCGAGGAATGTATGGAACATGGATCAACAAATGGAGTGATGTCATGATCTTCAGGAGTGTCCAATAAAGTCAAGAAGATGGCCACAATCCTATGACTGAAGTATGACATATATAAAGAGGGCAGGACTTCAATTTCAAGTCGTCATTATCTTGCTTTTCTTGACCACCCAGAGGGAGATATGCCTGGGCTGAACACATAACTCTCATGATTCTGCACCAGACATGGATCTACAATTATGCCTTATTTCCTACTGCAATAAGTCTGAATGATTGAATGAATGAATGAATAAGTGAGTGAGTGAATGAATGAATAAATGAATGAATGAATGAATGAAGTGACTCCTCCTTCTAGCTATATGGAATAGCAACTCTAGCTGTTCTTCATCAGTGGTTATCCTCTCCACCCACCTTCAAATGCAGATAAATCTGTTCTGTTCAAGGATTTATCCTACAAGAAAGGAATGCAAGCAAAACCATCAGTGAAAAGAAGGCATGCCATATTTGAGCTGCCACTTCCTTCACTTGAGGCAGGAGGACCCATAGACAAGGACAAGTAGATCTTAGAGCACGGGCATGGTGCCTTTAAAACAGAAGTGTTTTGGGGGTGGGGTGGGGTATGTGTTCTTTACAAGAGATCTTTTAAAGACATTCTCATTGCATTTGAAAGCTTTTCAGATCCCCAAAGAAAGGTGTAACAAAAGTTAGCTGCAAAAGAAGTAGAAGAAGGAAGGTTGTAAACATTTTAAAAACAATTTGCAGGCATCACTTCTGTGTGAATCTGCATACAAATTTGTAAGGAACCATAGCTGTCAAATGGCAGGGCTGCTTTTTTTAAAACAACAACAACAACAAAGAATTGTCCCTTCAATTTGGAAATGAGTTGCTTTGTTCTGCTACATTCAATTTGTAAATGGAACTCCTTTTTATTTTCATTGGAAGGTTGAAAGATTTTCATTTAGTCAAGAGATACAGTTGAATGGAAAGGGAAAGGAATGAAAACTAGAGTGAAATGCTTAATGAAAATTAAACTGGATGTTCATTTGCCATATGTCATAACAGTTTATTGGTATCTATTTGTACAGACAGAATTAAGGAAGATTAGAAGGGAAATTGTATCAAAACTTGTATCTGAGATTTAGGACAGATCATCATGGAGAAAATGAAATTAGGAATTGAAAATGATTTGATGGTACATCATCGTTCAATCAAAGAAGGGAAATTGCATCAAGAATTGTACAGTTATGCTGGTATTAAGACATTATTTTGCTATTGTTCTCTGAGTTATTTTACTGAAGCAGAGATTCTGTTTAGTGATTTAATTTTAATAAGGTTTTATTCTTTTCTTTGGATAATAAGTAGCTTATTTTTGCCCCAATAGTTAAAAGCAAAGATTCAGTATCAAACCAGAATCATCTGCTTGCCATCCAAACCAAGTTAGTTCCCAGTTCTTTGATGGCAGTAGCGGTAGGGGGGAAGGGGGCAATGGGCTGGAGACTTTCCCAAAATGTTTATTATAGAATATACAGTTTGTAGATCATCAGATGCCCATTCTGTTGTAAGTGATCACATATACTGATTATTTATGGATTTTATATATTGCTGGATTTTATATATTGCTTTTCACTAAAAGCAATGTTTAACCAGCTTGCATTAAAATATTTGCATTGTACAATGAAATACATATATAAAGTGGCAGTGGTAATAAACCATTATTAGGAGGGCTGATGAAAAAATAGAAACTCACTGTGGTAATGATTATTTATTAGATCCTTATTCATAATGTTGAACTTTGTCTTGCTTGCCCAAAAGTAAATTAAAAGTATAAATGAGATTTATAAGCTGACAATTACTTCATTTAGCAGCACATAAAAAAAACCCTTCAGTCCTCTTCCTCATACATTTCTACCACTATTAGCAAATGTCCATTGAGAATGCTTTTGTTTTCCTCCAAATCCAGATGGATTGTTATGTGAATCATCACAGATACTTACTTCTT